GGGGAGGGAATGGAGATTTTGCAGTATCCTTCCCCTGGAGTCGGGAGGGAATAGGGATTTTGCAGTATCCTTCCCCTGCCACATCCAATCCACGCCCACAGAACCGCTAGTAAAAAAAATGTGAATCCCACCACTGCTTGTCACCCATAAAGTCTGCTTCATTTCCCATGGAGCCAATCCTACACTACTGCTAGAACTGCTGACCACCTGCTGGCCTTCCCTTTTTCAGGAAAATGCCCAAGATTGTGGAGGAGCTGCAGCGATTTCAGCCTCCTCAACTTTGCTTCTGTTTCTGCTGGCCACAACAGCGCTACTTCTGCGGTGACGAAGTGCACTGCAGTCCTTCCATTGAGCCTGGACTGCTATTTTCACATGGACCTCAAACAGAACTTGACCTCATCCCTCCTGAAGGACTTCCTAGGACTTCTACATTGTATTTACAAGCAAGACAGAAGAAGGATAATAACTATGAGGCAAAGCTAACAATTGACTCTTTCCGTCTCTACAGTAGGGAGAAGTTCATCTAAGGATAGTGATGGGGGAATGATGTTTATTAGACTTTGTCCTATCTAGCATAGTGTATAGACCAGGGGTCTCTAACCTTGGCAACTTTAAGCCTGATGGACTTCAACTCCCAGAATTCCCCAGCCATTGGAGACCCCTGGAATAGACTGTAATGAATTAGCTTTCTCCACCTGGAGAAAGGTGCTAACTACTGGATTTAAGCCTCTAATACAGGTAGTCCTCAAGTTACAACCCTGATAGAGCTTGCCCATCAGGGTCGTAACTCATGACAAACATAAAGCAGGTGGGTTAAATTACCAGCCTGATTTTATGACTTTTTCTGCAATGGTCTTAACACAGGGCTGTAAATATCCTAGCCCATGGGCTGAATGCGTCACGTGCTGGTTACGCCTACGTCCGGTTTAGGGGGGGGGATCCCAATATGTCATGTGACACCACCATGACTTGAGTTTGACACCCTTAGCCTAACCTCGTAGTTGTTAAGTGAATCAAAGGTTCACTATGGGCTGGTTTTGCCCGTTTTCAGCAAAACCATTGTAACACATAACTGAAAATTTATGTTGCTAAGTAAGCCATTTGTTAAGTGAATCTTGCCTCACTTTACGACTTTTTTCCGCATATTTGCTAAGTGAATCCTTGAAGTTCTTAAATTAGAAATATGGTTGTTAAGTGAATCTGGTTTTCCCATTGACTTTCCTCACCAGGAGGTCAGAAGCAACCGTCATAAATGTGAGTCAGTTGCCAACCATCAGAATGTAAATCACATGACTGTGGAAATGCCACAAAGGCCATGTGAAAAATGGTCATAAGTCACTTCAGTGCCGTTGTAACTTCAAATGGTCACTAAGTGAATTGTTAAGTCAAGGACTACCGGTACATAATCCACTTGACTATGGGACTGTCATTGGCCAAAAATGCAGGCCATTTGCTGAGCAACCAAAGTGAGACCATGTGTGACCATGTGGGAGAACAGCTACTGGAACTTCAAATCAAGTAGATCCATCGGGATTTCAGTTGCTAAGTAACAAGTCATAAGTTGAGGACTACCTTTTGCTTGGCTGAATTATTTTAAAGGTTTGGAGAAAACCGGTGAGGAATATCAGAGAGAATTGATTGCGTCTCCAAAACTGAACATTGGCAAGAGAATAGATAGATAGGTCAGTGATGTACTCTGGATTTTTTTTTTTAACTATGGCACTTTTCAGCCAGAGTTATGGCTCTTACATTTTGTTTCTTAAACACTTGGAACATTTTATAGAATTACGATTCCCTGTATAAATTACAGAAATAATTTTAATAAGGATCAGGCTGAACTTACAAATTAAGGCACACTCGATTTGGCAATGACAATGTTTTCAAAAATGATTTTGGAAAAAAAAAACTGTGGACATTAAGGCTGCCGCCGAAGTTTAATGGATAGATCATATTGTTGCTTCCACAGCCAGCCACTTTATGCCAAAGATTTATTTTCCCTTCCTCATTGATAGGCTGCATAATATATTTTTTAAGTTATTAAGAGCATGATGCACATCTAAGAGGAGGCACCCATGAGATGTGCAATCTCTTTATACTTTTGGGAGCTTTGTGAAAGAAACTATGACAATTTTTTTCATGCTTGCTTTGAGAGGTTATAGATTTCACCCGTAGGAATTTAAGAACCAGGTTGGTATGCAGCAAAATATATATATATATGATATCCTTACTGTATAAGACTCAAAAGAAGTTACATTAATTCAACATGAGTGATCAGAAGTAAATCATCACCCTACAAAGCACCATCCAAAGGACTAGTAGTTCATAACTGTAGTAACTGTGAGCGGGATCTTGGAGTCCTAGTAGACAACTATTTAAATATGAGCCAGCAATGTGCAGCAGCTGCCAAAAAAGCCAACACAAGTTCTAGGCTTCATAAACAGAGGGATAGAATCAAGATCACGTGAAGTGTTAATGCCACTTTATAATGCCTTGGTAAGGCCACACTTGGAATACTGCATCCAGTTTTGGTCGCCACTATGTAAAAAAAGATGTGGAGACTCTAGAAGAGCAACGAGGATTAGAGGACTGGAGGCTAAAACATATGAAGAACGGTTGCAGGAACTGGGTATGTCTAGTCTAGTGAAAAGAAGGACCAGGAGAGACATGATAGCAGTGTTCCAATATCTCAGGGGTTGCCACAAAGAAGAGGGAGTCAAGCTATTCTCCAAAGTATCTGAGAGCAGGACAAGAAGCAATGAAAGGAAACTAATCAAGGAGAGAAGCAACTTAGAACTGAGGAGGAATTTCTTGAGTTAGAACAATCAATCAATGGAACAACTTGCCTCCAGAAGTTGTGAATGCTCCAACACAGGAAGTCTTTAAGATGTTGGATAACCATTTGTCTGAAGTAGTGTAGGGTATCCTGCTAGGCAGGGGGTTGGACTAGAAGTCCTCCAAGGTCCCTTCCAAATCTGTTATTCTATAAAGTTGGAAGCTATTTACACTATCAAATCCAACCTCCTCCTCAGTGCTAGAATCCAATTTTATTGAGTAATAAGTTCCCCCCCAAAAATTTGTGCCAGAGTGTTTTGTTTTGCTTCCACACACATCCTGTTCCCCATATAGTATTTGTACTATATATTACATAGTCATGTTGACAAGCAGAAAAGATTACTTTTCAGTTGATGCTGAAGCAACCATAAATTGGACTATTTACTAATGTGCAGCTGTAAGTTCACTTACACATGGATATGTGGAAATTCATTTCAGGAAATGGTTACAAAAACCCAACCTTTGCGTGTGACTGGGAGGTGATTGGGTCCAAATCAGTCACGCTGGGTAATGAGATGGGTGGCATATAAATGAAATAAATGAAAGATGTTAGTGTTTCCTTGCTTTCTCACTCAAAGATGCAATAAAACATTTTCAATACTTAACAGCAGGCAGCGAAAATTACAGGATAACACCAAGATTGCATCTAAAAATATATGACAACAGCACTAACAATTAAACTATTACATCTGACTGGCATGTTTTGTTATTTTTTTCTTCACATGGGCTAAATTTTACCCTTCAAGTGTTAAGAATATTTTAATATTACTGGACACTTTGCATGCATGTGAATCAGTTGTAGAACAAAGGTTAGGAATGATCAAATCAGCAGGTCAGAATATTTGACAAGAAACCCACATCCCGTCTCCTGGTCCAGACAGGAGAAGCATAAAGAGAGATAAGATGGTTCCAGTGATGGCATGGCTGTGGATTTCAGATGACCAACTTAAAGCCTTCTTTCAGAGAGCCTAGACTGTTATGGCCTGCCAGCGGCCAGCAGAGCTGGCAGCAATTTCAGACAGTGAGGAGGTTGGGGAGGAACATGGGCCAGTCCTGGGATCTGGGGAAGGCTCTGATGAGGGCTCTATAATGCCAGTTATCAGCTGCCTTCAGAGTCAGACATCAGTGAGGCAGACGAACAGCTGGAGCCTGTTCCCAGTGTGCGCATGTGCAGTTACCAGACAAAGGGAACAGCTAAAGAACAGGGGTCGACTTGGGAGTAAGGCAGTGGTGGGTTTCAAATTTTTTAAGAACCTATTCTGTGGGTGTGGCCTATTTTGTGGGCGTGGCTTGGCAGTCATGTGACCGGGCG